TATCCTGTAGTTGGAAAATGCCTTCAGGGGTCAACCATCTGTATGAGATGCTGTTTGTTTGTAGAAAGAGGATTAAGTCCTTCTTTCTCTTCTTCCTTATTTCAAATGGAATATCTTTGAAAATCCTAATAGTATTGCCTCCCATTTTCAGTGGTGTTCCTGAAGTCGCTTTCAGGATTAAATCCCTCACATGTCTCTTCAAGAATCTCACCACTATCTCTCCAGGCAGATACTTTTTAAATATATAAACGGAATAGACCAGGTTAGCTTTCTCCATTTGCAATTGTAAAAGTTGAAATTCATCCAAAGTTTGCTTCTTTTCCAGCATTTGCACCTTTTTCTTAACTTTTTTAGAGTTGGTATCCATTTCCTTTACTTTCTCAGCTATTTGCTTCTTTTTGTAGTTTCAGACAGTTGGAGCTGCTGAGCTGCAAAATTCTGGTTTAAAGTTGTCAGCTGTTGATTGATGTTAGTCATCTGATCCAGCAAAGAGTCCACCAAAAGCTTTAGAGAACTCAGTGGTCTCTTCCGGCCGTGGGCTCATGCTTCCTGGTGGTTTCACTTTTGCTTGTTTTTCTCTCTCCGTTTTTTCCCACGCCGTTTTTATAGATGGTTTACTTTTGTATAAACTTGCTAGAGTCTCTGAAATTCGCCCATACGCTTATCCACGCTCTGGGAAGTTTCTTAAAACAGATTTCAATGCTTTAACTTCCGCTCCCCCCGCCCCTGTTAGCTCGCTTTTTAGTTTATGCGTGTGGGAGGGGAGCCTCCCCCGCTTGCTTTTCTCATTGTTCTCGGGGGGGGGGCTTTCTTCTTAAATTACTGGAATTCCGCTTTTACTCGACTCACTGTTCGTTGTTGATCATAAGACCTCGCTTAAAGTCTGTTTAAAACGCTCGATCTCTGACGTTTGTGGCTCTAGTTCCATTCGGACACATAGCAGCAGGACTGTCGGGGCGCGAGAGCGCCTCAATTCCCCAGCAACGTGCTGGTGAAGAGGCCACCCTCCAAAAGCCCCATGGCTAGGAGCCTTTTGCGAACAATCGGCCCCCCTACTAACCACTAGCGCGCAGATCGCACCCCCGGGAGGTGTGTCCGCCAGCGTGTCGCCATAAACCGGAAGTCCAAGTCTCTGAACTTTCCTGAAGGGGAAAAAGTGGTAAAACTTATTACTTTGTTACAATGAGGAATGCTTGTAAAAAAAGGAGTAAGCTTGGAGATGGCTATTCCTTATACTCATCCTTCTCAAAAAGGGGTTTTCTCAGTCAGTAATGCATTTTGGGGGGGGGGATCAATCACAGCAGAGGTACTAGCGTAACAACTGCCACTGGATGTTCATGTGAATGTCACATGCTCCAATCATAAGAGCAAATATAATCTGTGAAGACAGAAGGGCCTAGCTTTTCACAGTATAGAAGAAAAGATACACCAGAGTGACATGAAACGGTATTTACACTCCAGGACTATTTGAGCATATACTTGATTAGAAAGAATATATACACATGCAGTATAACCCTCCTTTGCAATTTAGCACTATTTCTGAAAATAGCAACTAGTAGGTTGAAGGCTAAAATGAAGCACAAGGATGCTGTAGTATTACATTTCTTACTTGAGCAATCATACCTTGACCGTGCCTACACATACCTTGTCACCTCACCCACACATTGGCAAAGCTATACTACTTCCTTTTGCAGGACTGTTGTATCCACATCAAAGCATCTGTCTTTTCTATCATGGTTTCAGGCATGAAGTAAGAGTTAAGTTTTCATGGGCGTCTGTGCACTTAGAAAAGAATCTTTTGCTGGAGGGCTCGACTCCTGTTCCTTTTTCCTGAGCCAGTGTGTAAAATCAGAACTGATATCAGCTCAGTAGGCACCGGAGGACGGGTCCATCGAGAGCCTGGAACAGCAGCCCCTGCAAGGGGCAGTTCCAGTCAGAAACAGTCATTGCAAACAATACATACCATTAAACTAGCAGACTCAGCAGGGCTGCTTTCAGTTAAGGAGACATCTTTCTAAAATACAATGCATTTAACATAGTTACCTCAAAATGGCATGAAAAGCAAAAGGTATACTTTTTGATCATTACTAATTACTTCTACTCTATAAGTAAAAAAGGATGCTTTCCACGTCGATTCTTTTCATTCTTGATGGAAGAAAGTGATCATTCTTAGGGCTTCTTCACTGGTTGTCATCTATAAACCAGACGCCATGCAAACATGCATTATAAATCTGCAGCAGCAAACTGACTTTTGGGAAAGTTTTCCATCTCACCTTCTCTTCAGGTGCAGAACTTAGCCACTGTGAACAAAGAGGAAATCAATCACTGTTCACCAATCAGCTAAGCTCTGCACCTCTCTAGAGAGGTCTTCATCTGAGTATAGTTAATTAGCAGCAGAAGTCGTTCAGTGACTCGCTTCTACATGGCACGGGTGGTAGACTCATGGGGTTCCGACAGTATGAATGGGAGACTGTCAGTGATTCAGGCAGAGAAGCCAATGTCATGGTGGTGTGGTAATCCCTGGCAATGTGATTTTAATTTTAAGTCACAAATCAGCATGCCAGGAACCCAAACAACCAAAACAGGAAGGAAATCTGGACTGCCTCTCTAAACTCTGCAAGCTGTAATAATCACATCATCCTAACAACTTGAAAAATCTTTACAAACTCATATTTTCCTCTCATTTCATTTGCATGCTGAACATTCTTATTTGGATAATCTATTACTCAACACAAGTCACAAACATCAGCTCTAAAATACCAGCATGAAAGTGTTCATAAACTTGTCATAAACTATTACAGAATTACCGTTAACGTTTTAACTGACATGCAGAAAAGAAATGTGGCTTGAAAAGACTCAGTCACATAGCAGAAGCTGTTTTAACTTCTTATATTGCTTTTGCTTCAAAAGAAAGGAAAGTCAACCTAAACATGCTATCATTTACTAAATTCCAAATCCTGACTAGTTTCTTTTATGCTACAGGAGTCAAGCAGCTCAGTTTGCAGCCCAAGCTCAACAGAGTTTACTTGAGTAAACAATTTCATACTAACTGTAGTCCCCTGTTCCACATATATTGAAATGACATGAACCCAACACAAGCTATTATCAACAATTGCATAGGTTTGAATGGAAATGAAAATCATGACTCCTACTCTAAATAATGCTTTTTAAATTGCACAGGAACTGTGACAATACATATATGATAATTTCCAGTGAAAATTTACCACACCATACACATAGCTGCTTGTTAAACTACTTGTCCTGTCCCACCTACCGTGTTTCCCCGAAAATAAGACACTGTCTTATATTTCTTTTTTCTCAAGAAGACACACTAGGGTTTATACCACAAATGCATAGAAATCCTGCTAGGGCTTATTTTTGGGGTAGGTCTTATTTTCGGGGAAACAGGGTAGTGGTGAGGAAAATTTTACTACACTTTTGCATCTGATCTGGTAAGTAGAAAGAGACAAGAATTTCCTCACAGATTACAAACAGTCTACACCGTGTAGTATATGCTAGTTTACCAAGTAGTATGTTTAGCTTACCACTTGGTAAGTGGCTGTCTGTATCCCCCCTGTAGTAGTAGTGTTTTTGCCCGCGAATGAACACAACAGGTTTTGCATTTTACACTAGCATAGGGACTGGTGGATCTCATCCCAAACTACCAGTATAACAAGAAGGTGTTTCTTGGTTGGCCTCTTATGCTATTTCAAGTGCAAGTATGTGAACAATCCAAAGGACTCAAAAAGGGCTGTAACATGACTGCCATCATTAAGCAAAAACCTCAGGAATACAGATTGCACAAGCATACCTACACTAAATCTTAATGTTGTACAAATATAATAACATTAGATTCCAGATCTACAATATGAAGGAGGACAAATATTTCATCATGCAAATCACCAGGATGTAAACACATTTAAAACTGGAGCAATTCCATATGTTCTTCCTAATGTTCTGGCAAGTGGTCAGTATTTCTGTTCTGGGATCAATGAAACCCATTTTATATGGCAAAATCTGCCTACTTTGCACTGTAAGCTGACTGCACAAAAACAGGATCAGTGATAAGTCTTCAGCATTCCAAGAAACTGACTCAGCCAAATTCAGAAATGCCCTTGCCAAATAAGTAGACTATAGGATACTCAGTCCTCCTCCAAAGTGTACCCACTAGGTTTGTTCTCAAAAATCTTAAAAAAGACATTTCATCTTCTGTCAGTTAAGTACAAAAAAGCAAAACAAGCATTACAGATTTACCATAGGGATTTAACAAATACAGACACATTCACTTCAAAAGCCTGATTTTTCTTTTTTTGGGAATGGTATCAAAGGACCTGGAAGCTATGGGAGACAAACCATGTAGGCTTTCTCCTGTAGTTCTAGGATAATCCAAGGATATTTATTTTTATTTATTTTCTTCAATGTATATCCCGCCCTCCCTGCAAAACAGGCTCAGGGCGTGTTCCCACCTGTGATAATCTGCTGAGTGCAGATTTACAACAATTTACAAGAGCAATATTGGTCTGGATTCTTTTACATGAACTGCCCTTCTCAACAAATCTTTGTTCCTGTGTTAGAGGCCCCATGTCTTTCATGTCCTAAACCGTTATCCTGCATATTCACAGAATGACTCCATACAGGGTGGTGGTGGAAAGTGCTGCCAAGTCACAGCTGACCTGTGGCGAACCCTGTAGGGCTTTCAAGGCAAGAGACATACAGAGGTGGTTTGCCATTGCCTGCCTTCGCGTCATGACCCTGGTATTCCTTGGAGGTCTCCCATCCAAATACTGGTCAGGGCCAACCCTACTTAACTTCCAAGATCTGACCAGATCCAGCGATCCAGGTTTGGTCCATATAGGATACACAAACGAAAAACATCCAAACCATATTTGGTTTGGTTTAATCCACAAGTGCATTACCTAACAATAAGCCCTTAAGAACTAAACATTTGGAGTATCTTTTTGCTCCCCAACAGAAATAAGGACAATGTCAAAAAAGCTGCTTACTTTGCCATAAAGCAGTAAGGATGCATCATCAATCTGTACTGAAATATAGCGATTAATTTTATGACACATGATTGTACCATTTTATGATCTTATTGCTGCGTGTTTATGACAACTTTATTCTGGCAAGTGGACTTTGGTCTTGACAAACTTATTTATTTGTTCATTCACATACACATTCAGTACATTACTTCCTTAAACACAGCCTGAGGCTTTAACTATCTGGAAAAAGTCACCTCATCAAAATAACATCTCTGTCACTATTTTAGCTGAGGACACATCCATTTGGTCACGGACTGTGGCAAAACTTTTATATGCAAGCTCCTGTTGTTTTGCATCCTCATTCAGCATTAATTCTCCATACAAGTAGACACCCATTGCCTGCAAGAGGAAGAAAGTGATCGTACTATAACACAATCAATTTTAGTTTGATGGTTTCAGGACAATAATAATTGCATCTAATTTTGTTATTTAAAAAACCAGTAAATTGTTTCATAAGTACAAGTCCTTAAAATGTACTGAGATTCTTTGTAGGTCTTTAAAATACATTAGCAGAATCAATGCAATAGGCATCTTTTAGAAAAACATCAATACATTATGAAAGAAAAAGGGTTTGTGTAACATCTTATATTTCACAGGATTAATATGAACGTCTTTGTTGCCCAATGACAACATTGTACACTAAAATAAAATGGTCTTCCCTCTACTTAAAGTTAAGTGTAACACAGAAGGTGATCCCTGTGAATATCCAGGCTGCAGAACAGACCCCCCCCCTCTCTCTCTCGCAAAAAGTTATAGCTCTGAAGCTCACCTATAAACTCCGAAATCTTTGAGATGAACCCCAGAATTTGTAAGGCTCACTGATAGCACCAGGAACAGCTTTAAAAAACAAAACAAAACCCCATACCATATTCCTTGCCTCCAACCATATCCTCCAACCAGGACAAAGATCATTTGCGTAATCAAAAGAGTTCTCATGGAACTACGTATTTATTTTTTTAATGTAAGCACCATATTTTCTTTAAGACGGACCCATTTTCATGCAGAAATCTGAATGAAGTTTACCATTTTTGGTGTCTAGCGTATATACTTAATCCTAGAATGTGTATATATGTACAAACTGAGAAGTTAGTGTTGCAACACCGAGTTAACAATAGTGTTAATGATGGATTCATATTTCAGTTTATGACATACAAGGGGTAGACATAACAGACTAGTTTGTTCAAGATGGGTAGCCACGCTAGTCTCTTTGTAGCAGTAGAAAAGAGCAAGAGTCCAGTAGCACCTTTAAGACTAACAAAATATGTGGCAGGGGGATGAGCTTTTGTGAGTCACTGCTCACTTGTTCAGATATCTTCTTCCTGCCACATACCTTGTTAGTCTTTAAGGTGCTACTGGACTCTTGCTCTTTTCTACTGCTACAGACTAGTTTGTGTAAGAAAAAACAACAACACAAGCTACCAAACTTTACAAAGGTTTCAGTTTTACAAACCAAAGTTAAGGTTTTGTTACGTTGCCTATCTGTTGGGAATGCAGTTCTTCACTAAACTGGCTATGTTCAGACTCTGATTGAAAGACAGGAAGTAGAGGATAAGTCTAGAAACTGTTTTTTGCAATGAAGAGATGTGAAGAGTAGGGTCCTCAAATGATCCATGTGTTACTTGGCTTACTCACAAGTGACCTGAAATCTGGTGTTGATGGAGAGGCAGCCAAGTTTACATGTGAAGAGTAAATTGTGAAGAGTTCCAAATACTGAATCTCATCTGCCATTCGGCAACAAAATGCCATAGGAGCATAAATAAAAACTCTAGCACAATATACATGCAGATGGCATAACAGACTAGAACCAAACTGGAAAATGCTGTAGTAAACAGAACATTGTTAGAAATTATTAAGAAAGGGCCCAAAATATCGGAAGTGCTTCTCCTATTAAAAGTAATGGATCATGAGTAACTTATTAAATTGATTTTAATAAGACAGACAGCCCATTCTACTGTATGTTTACTCAAGAAGTAAATTCCACTAAATTAACTGGGCCTTATTCTCATTATGTGTACGCAGTATAGGAATTTAACAGTGCAATCCTATTCATGTTTATTCAGTCCCATTTTATTCTGTGCGGCTTACTCACAGGTAAGTGATCTTAAGAACAGTTCAACTGTACACTGAGTTACTCCAGTAAGTCCATTTATTTCAATGGCAAAACTCTATACAGGATTGCACCATCACTATGTAACTGAAAGAAAATACATGATATTCAGAAATGAATTGGTGGTATGGCCACATTTAAAATACTCTTCACCTTCATTGAATATGAAAAAGATAAAGAGAAAAAGAACGGAACTATCAAGGAACATACAATATTTTCCCTTATGAGGGGGGGAAATCATGGATGATAGGTCTAATAATCTAATAGCCGAGCTACAAATGAAAACTCCACACACAGAAACAATGCATTTATAATGCAAAATACAAAGGACAGACAAAATAGGGTTGTCAGCTTTGTAATTGCCTCCTTGATTGCTTTGTGTGTATTTGGCTCACTACTGCAGGGAAACACATTACTGCCTGGATCTCTGGTTTGATCAAACAAGGCAAGAACTGAGTTAGTAGTCTGCAAACTGCACTAGTTACAGTACAATAGCTATTATTCTACAAACTGCATGAGTGAGATAAAAATATAACAAATACTATTTTCCAAAGGTAAGCTTCCTGCAACCTACTGCCAAAATAGAGAATATAGAATCATCACTGAAAATTCTGATGGGAGTATTTCATGGTCATTTCTCTAAAATGCAAACATCCAAATTCAGTAAACAGTAGTGGTTCTGTAATCCTCAGTGTTAAATGGTCACATTTGCATGTTCTTCAGACTTCTGAAAAACCAAGTTGTCTTTCAAGACTACAAAGCACAAGGGATTTCTTTGATTTCTCATATTATAATTTTACAATTTGCATAGATATGTGAAGAAGATTAGAAGAAAGTTTTGGTGTCAGAAATTCTTTTCCTCAAGGAGCATAAATGTATAAATCTCTATATATTACAAACCATTTCCTAAATATGATGCTTTTCAGCTTGATTTAGAATTGGCGCAGATGTTACTGCAGGTAGCCAGTCTCCACATGTATGTACAAGTTATATACTTGTATGTCATATCTGATGTCCTGATGTTACACTTTGCAAGCACTCTGGGTGTTTTTCCATATATAAATCTATATATCGAATTCTCAACAGTCCTCTCTGCATGCGGATACTTATTTCCGCAAACAGAGAGCAAACTCTCCCCAACAGGTTTTTCTACAGACTCAGGGGGCTCCGTGACACTGAAGAAAAATCCAAAAAGTGAAACAAAAACAAAAACCCACAAATTCGAGGAGGGTTGAATTCCCCCCCAACATCCCACCACAGGGATCTACTCCAGGCGCCACTACATTGACAGTGAGAGTAGACTGGCTGATAGCCAGAGGGGGGAGGAAGCAAAAGCAGAACTGGAGCTGGGATTGGGGAGGATTCCTCCTGCAGTATGAATGGCTAAATAATCTGAGTTTCTCACCCCTACCTCTTTTGCTGCGGGCTCCACTGTCCTCTTAAACCATTCTCGGAGGGGGAGCTTCTAACTGGTTCTGTCAGTAAAAGGCAGGGAAAGGGGCAGGGCCCTTTCCAGACCTATTTTGGTCTTTCAGGGAGGGGTCCTTAGGGCCAGGCCTGGCAAGGGTTGCAAGTACTAGGTTGGGAAATTCCTAGAAATTTTGTGGTGGAGTCTAAGGAGGGCTGGGTTTGGGGGAGAGAGAGGCCTCAGCTGAATATAATGCCACAGAGTCCAGCCTCCAAATCAACCATTTTGTCCAGGGAGATAGATCTCTGCTGTCTAAAGTTTAGTTGTAATCTGGGGGATTTCCAGGTTCCACCTGGAGGTTGGCAACCCTAGGCCTGGCAGCACCCTCTGGGTGACAATACCACCTGATTTGCATGACTCAACTAGGTATGGCTGCTTGCTACTGTTCAACAGCAACCACCCTATGAAAGCCAGTATGGTGTAGCAGTTAGAGCTTCAAAGTAGGGTCTGCAAGACCCAGGCTCAGATCCCCATTTTGCGGTGGAAGCTGACTGGGTGATTTTGGGCGAGTCACATACTTCCAGTGTAACCAACCTCACAGGATTGTTGTGCAGATAAAAAGGAGGAGAGAATAATGTAAGCTGCTTTGGTCCCCATTGTGGAGAAAGATTGTAATTTTCCTAGATGGAGGCTGTGGGGTGGGGGAGACTGAACGCTGAAGACTGATAGGCAGATAAAGGTAGGTTGGCTGTTGGGTGGGAAAGAAATAGGGTTGATAACTGTCAGCAAGCTGCCATGGTGTTCTGTGTGACCCCTGTTATGTACCTATGTAATCCCCGTTCCTGCCAGCCACCTATTACGTTATCCTGCTGCAATGCCAAAGTAAAACAACTGGAGGATGTGAGGGGGAGTGTATGCTTCAATGCTAGCTTGTTGCCTGAGAACTGCACCTGTGTTATGTCTACAGTTTGCCTGGTTCCCAGGACCTGGGCGCGCAACCGTTTTCCCCTGCCCGCCAGCGGGAACATTACCCATTGGTTATGTCTCTAACTTGAATCCCTTTATCATGTCTGCCCTAACTGATTGTACCCAGTTCTAACAAGGAACGTGTTTGAGTGTTTTTGGAGAGGAGGAGGCGAACGAGCTGCCGCCCCATCGCCCCACCGACTGTGCAATTGAACTTTTGCCTGACTGTAAACTGCCTAAAGGGAAAATTTACGCGATGGGGCCAGCTGAAAAAGTTGAGCTCCGCAACTTTATTGACAAGAATCTGGCGCGAGGCTTCATTCGCCCTGCTTCCTCCCCTTTTGCGGCTCCAGTGCTCTGCCGGAAGAAGAAGGATGGGGGGCTTCGTTTGTGCACGGATTATCGGGGGTTGAATGCTGTGTCTTTATCCAACGCCTACCCTCTCCCACTCATCAAGGATTTGGTGGCTGAAGCCACAAA